CCTTCCCCCCCTCTCCCCCCCCCCCCCGTCCCCACTCTGCGTGGTTCCCATCACTCCACACCTGGCAGGAGAGAGTCTGCCAGCCTCTGATCTCTGATAGCCTTTCTCTTCTCTTTCTTCCAGTGCCAACAACTTCGCAATGAAAGGGAAGCGTAAGACACTCAATGCTAGTGATGTGCTCTCCGCCATGGAAGAGATGGAGTTCCAGCGATTTATTACCCCCTTAAAAGAAGCTCTAGAAGGTATCCCTTCTGTTTTCTGAATCAGGAAGATGTTCATCCTCTGTGCTTTGATCACCCAGTCTTGAGGCTTTCAGTATACTTACCTTGAGGTCCAATAAGTCAGTACTAGGGTTGACGCCACACAGATTAGTTGGTACCATCTCAGTTATTTGGGAGGCTGAGCTCTTTATTCTTCCTCTGTGCCTCCATTTTTCTTATTATATAATGGCTACATGGTCCACTTTATGCTTCCAGTTCTGCCTTCTAACCCCACTTCTCCCTATAACAAGCGCCCGGCTTGTTATAGATATTTATAAAACAAAGAAATATAGCAAAGGTCACTAGAAAACCCCATTTATCCTTCCTAACAGCATATAGGCGGGAGCAGAAAGGCAAGAAGGAAGCCTCAGAGCAAAAGAAGAAGGACAAAGACAAAAAAACAGATTCAGAAGAGCCAGACAAGAGCAGGGATGAAGACAATGATGAAGATGAAGAAAGACTGGAAGAAGATGAGCAAAATGAAGAGGAGGAAGTAGACAACTGAATAGGGTGGGCAGGATGGCATTGTAGAAGATACCATCTAGAAATATCTTGTGTTTATATGAAGCTTTTCCCTGCTGGGTAAGTGGTCTTAGGCACAAGTGCCTGAGATCAAAATAAAAACTGAATAGAATTATCCAAACCAGCTCTCCCAGCCTCAGAACATCTGAGTAGCAGAATCCTGATTTGCTTGATTGGTCTGAAAGTTATAACTTTTTAGTAAGGAGGATTCTGAAAGCTGATTAAATTGGCCAGTTGAAATCTTCTGTCTACTTAGGTGTAGGTTTAGGTAGTGTTTTGATCCCTGTCTCCCTGTCCCTCCATAAAAGTAACAGTAATTTCCATGCTGCTAGCTGTGTTTCAGATCACAGGGGCAGTGAAGGCTCAGGACAAATTGGGGCTTTGATCATGGTCAGCCTACATTTGATTGTACAGTATTGGGCAATAGTAGCTTATTAAGAATGGCCAGGTGGCTGGGGATATAGTTGAGTAATAGAGCACTTGCCTAGCATGTGCAGCTATGCAGGGCCCTAGATTCCATCCCTAGCACCAAAGAATAGTAGTCTGAATGTTTCAGCTTTAGGAAACTACTGGAACGCTGGGTGAATAATGAAATCCAATCTGCCATCTCTTTATTTGACATAATAACATTGTTTTGTTTTTCACTATGCCCACTTTGCTGCATTTCTTTATTACCTGCCCATTTAACTTGGTGGAGTAGCTGCACTCTGAGCACTTAGGGGCTTAAAATAGCAGTGGAGATTAAAGTTGGTCATGCAAAGGTGCCACTGAGGTCTTACAAAACACATGACTTAGTGCTACATGTACCTCACTGCCTACCACTGTAAAGCTTTGGGATTATCACCTCCTGGAAGGTGTAAAATCCCAGGCTTTTTCTTTCCCATTTCCCAGACTGGGTGTGACTTTGCATTCTCTTAATTTGTGACAAGCTCTAGACTTTATTTCTCCTAAACACAACTTTCTCCCTCTATGCTTCTCTTTGTTTCTTTTTACCTTTCTGCTTTCTAGTCCCACTTTCTTTTACTCACTTTGTTGGCCAGTCTAGGAACTTTGAATACCTGCTTGTATCCCAAGGTTCAGATTTCTTCTGGTTCCTTAGTGTCGTGTCTTAAAAATGGTTTTATAAAACTCCTCAACCTTAAGGGAAATATGATGGTGCTCAGGAATCACATGCATATGTGTGTGTGTGCACGCACACATACACACACACACAAATCCTTCTCCTTTAACTGTCTCTAAAGTATCCTTGTTGGCTTTTCTTAGTCTTCTCTTCCATTCAGTACTCCAAGCACATTCTTGTCTTACTTGAGCATTTGGGGTTGGCAGGTAGTGTAATATAGTTGGATGCTTTTTGTTAAATGAATACAGTGAAAAGTTTGTTGATAAGTGACTGAAGACTTGAGAAGATTGTAATGCTTTGTATAAATAAAGAACATTCTTGTTTAAAGTGATGACTCAGAGTTTAGTTTTGGAGAGGACCTACTGATCATGACTCAGTACAGTATGTGGAATGTGGACTAGGCCAGCCCTTTGTAACAAACATTGGGTCTTATATCACCTTGGATGACCAGTAGGTGTTGCTCTTCTAATACCAGAACAAATGCTTTCGTGACTTCTTGAATAGTTGTTGTGTCTGGGACTGCTTTAAATGCCTTCAGGAATTAAATCTTAAACCCTATATAGTAGCATTACTGTTACCTCCTTTTTAAACTTCTTTTTCTCCCTTTTTTTGGTGCTGGTCCTGGGCACTGTTCTTGAGCTTTTGTGCTCAAGGCTAACACTACCACTTGGAGCCACAGCTCCATTTCCAGCTTTTTTGGTAGTTAATTGGAGATACGCATCTCAGAGTTTCCTGCCCCAGCTGGCTTTGAACCACAGTCTCAGAGCTCAGCTTCCTGAGTGGCTGGGATTATGGGTGTGGGCCACCAGTGCCCAGCTTTAACCTCTGCTATTTCTTAATCACAACTCTACTACCTATCCAATCTACATAGCTATCAGATCTCAAGTCAAATTGTAAAAGTTACATTAGGCATGATGGCACATGGCAATCATCCTAGCACTTGAGGATCAGTGAAAGTTGTATGACAGCCTGTGTCACATGTTAAGACCCTCTCAAGAAAGTTTCTCAAAGATTCAACTCAGTGTTCACTTAGGTGATTTTTCCCCTCATTTTCATCATCAGAAACATCCTTTCAAGCACCCCTACAAGCACCACTCTAGGCTAATCCCTAGTCTCATCTGGATGTTGATTTTCTTTGAGCTCAGGGCTGGGAAGGTGGCTCAGTGGTAGAGCGCTTGCCTTGCATGCCTGAGGCCCTGGGTTCGATTCCTCAGCACCACATAAGCAAAAAGAAAAAAGCCGGAAGTGGTGCTATGGCTCAAGTGGTAGAGCGCTACCCTTGAGCTGAAGAGCTGAGGGACAGCGCCCAGGCCCAGAGTTCAGGCCCCACAACCGGACCCAAAAAATAAAAATGATTTTCTTTGAGCTCAGTGTCTAACTTCATCTGCATCCCCTAGTTTCCCCTGGGTATTAGTTGACAACTGGATCCTTTCTGAAACATGACGACTACAATCCCTACCTGCTTCCTATGAAATGAAATCTATACTTAAGACTGAGTAAGACAGGCTCACTACCATCTATTCTAACCTTCTACCCTCCTATATAAAGCTGTTTGTGTTCTAGTCAAGAATGAGTCGGAAAACAATTTCATGAATTCTGCTCCATCCCTTAGCAAACTTAGAAAGAAAAACATGTTGATTTAAAGCTATGGAATTTACCAACTGAGAGAAATCTTAGGACAGCCATCAGTTTTTCCCAAACACACCTCCATCATTCCTATAGTAGTATTGGGATTAGGGAGATGGGAGGGGGTCATACTGGGATTTGAATTTAAGCTCTTGTGCAAGCTGAGCAGGTACACTAGCCACACCTCCAGCCCTTATTACTAAGGTAATGTTACACCTTTAGCAAGGCCATACATGCCCAGAGATTGTAATCTATATTTGGATGTTAAAAGGATTTCTATCCTAACCCATTCAAAACTACTTATATACCCTAGTCCTGTGTTTTTACCAATGGGAAGTTGAGGCTTTTTAGAGAGAATTGATTTAAGATCTTACCATTAATTTATGAAAATTGGGATTATGTCTCGGTGGTCTTTGGCCCGACTCCTGGCTTTTGTTTTAATAAACATTTTGTCTTGAAATAATTTTAGATTTATGAAGAAAGCTACAAAGACTTTTTAAGTTACAAAGTAGAATTATATACTTATCCAACTTTCTCCGCATGTTAACATCTTTTAGAACTATGGTACACTTGGTCAAAATTGACAAAGATTAATCTCACTATTCTGGTATTTAACCAGTCTTTCATATCCTTTTTCTCTTAACAAGTTGTAGAATATCAGATTGTATTTAGTGGGTTTTTCTTCAAGAGTTGAAAAAAATTACAAAACATAAGATTAAACATGTTTAAGTGAACAATTTGGTATTAAACAACTACTACCTTTAGCTTCAAGACATTTCCCAGGCCTTCATAACCACCAAACCGCTTTCTGCTGCCCCTGCACATACTCTGCTCCAAAACCACTACCCACAGACCTCCGGTCAGATTTTAATGTACCCATTATTGTCCTGTCTGAAGCCCCTGTCAGACTTGGAAGGTTTTTTTTTGTTGTTTGCTTTTTTAATTCTCCTGTCTATTCATATCCCATCTCCCAACCCATGGCACAGATTAGGTTCTGAGTAAATTAGTTACGCTGGATTAAATTCCCACTGAAATGAGAAAACAAGTCTGATGCTGAACTCAACAACTCTAAAGTGCTCAGTCTGCGAAAGGGGACTTAATTTATTGTGTTAGGCCATTGTGGTGGTGTTTTCCTTGATGCTCATTGTTCTTTCATCAATGAACCAGAGCCAAGTTGGCCCGAGGAGGGTAACAGAACTGCAAAGTGAACTCGGGTAAAAGCTGGGGTGAAGGTACGGTTAAGCCCGCCTCACACTCCCGCAGAGATCCAACGGGCCCACGTGGTAGCTCTGTGGTCCAGCCAGCGCCAGAGAAGTCCTAGCACCCGGAGGGGTGGCTCTGAAGCCCGAGGGCATATCCGATTGGCCGGGGAGGGGGAGGGGCCTCGCGGGAACTGGCCAATTGTCCCTTGAATGCCCATGCGGGGCGTGGTTTCACGCTATGAGGGGCGGGCAGGAGGGGGGGGAGAGCTGCTTCCGGGTGAGCCGCCCCGCCCCCACGTGGGACCCGGAGCCTGGAGTCGGGAGACCGCGGTGGCTGCGCCAGCGGTTCGGAGCTCTGGCGAGTCAGGTAAGCGGGAACCGGCGTTCCAGGAGGTGGCGGGCTTGAGAGGGCAGCTCCAGAGCGAGACAAGTGCTGTTGCACCGAGAATCTCGCATCCCAAGATTGTGTTGTGCCCCGAGGATTGTGTTGTGCTGCTGGGGGTGAACCTCCCTCCCCCCCCCCGCCCCAGTTGCCCGGCGCTTTAGGCTTTGACAGCCCGGCAATACCTAGGGTCGAGGCCTGAATGCAGGCCCCGTTTCTCATCTCTGGAGACTGCCAGGCAGTCTCCATCAGAGCGGGGTCAGAGGTATCTAGCGGGCTGGAGGAAGGAGCTGGAAACAATAGGAGCCGCTTGTGCTAGGAGTCCCATCGCTTTGTCCCATTCAGTCCTTACAACAACTCATTGAGGTCGGGTTAGGTCCCCACTTAGCAGATGAGAAAACTGAGGTCACATAGCTGGAAATAGAATTTGTCACCACATCTCAGACTCCAGAGCCCACATACCCTGCTACCAGCAGCAACCAGATTCAGAATTACCATTACGCCCCCTTTCTTCCTTGATCCATAAACACAGCTCTGCTGGGAAGAAAATTTGAAATCTACGTTACAGTTATGGTGGAAACTGAGGACTAGGCTGCCCAACACCCGAATTCTAGTCCAATCTGCAGCTGACCTGCTGCATGAACTTCAGTCAGTGTTTCTCCTACTCCGGAGCCCAGTTTCAGCCTTGTTTGAATGATGTAAATTCTAAGCCAAGATATTCTAGGAGGCTGTGGAAACAGCAGCTTCTCCTTCCAACTCCAGATGACTATCTAACCCAAAGATTATCAAAGCCCTAGGGCCAGGTGAGAGTCTCCCTCTTCCTTTTATACCTAAATTAAGTTCTGGTCCAGCGGGCACAAAGTATTCAGAAAATGCAAATAGACCACTAGTCTGTCCCTTTGCAGAAACTGCCAGACAGCTGCTGTTCTGAGTCTTTGTGGGACTTTGGATTTCTCAGGCTGGGCCCTTCTACCTAGCTGGCCCTCTTAACTGCCTCCTCCTCAGCTGGTACAGCGCCTACCAGATCTGCCAGCAGCTCCAAATGCTCTGTGCCAAGAGCACAGCCTCTGGAATCCTCTGGAGCACAACCTGGGGCTCCTTCACAACCACTCCCATAACTCAAATTAAGTTACACCAGGTGGAGGGGTTTGTTGCCAAATCAAAAGGAGATTTCACAGTTATTGTCAAGAGCTGTGCTTTGGTGTCCTTGAAGCTGTGACTCCAGAGACACAAGCCCTGGGCAGCCTTCTGCTTAGGATCTGTGTGGTGGTTATTTTATTTCTCTCCCACCAAAGCTGCCTGGTGGACAGGGACCTCACCTCAGGTATCTTGAAACATCTATGGCCTGCATGGCTTGAACAAATGCCTTCCCCTCCATGTGGCACAGGAGTACCAGCAACAAATAGTAATCAAATGAACCACATATTTACTGTGAAGCCCCTTGATGCCAGATTCATATCTCACTTTTAATTTTCTGCATAGCCCTGCAAGTTTTGGAATATTAGCCCACTTCATGCATTATGAAAGGAAGGTTCTGAAAGGCTACCAGCCTTGAGCTGAGCTAAAATCAGACCTGGGCACTATTTGACTCTGAAACCTGTTTTTTTAATTCTCTCTTTCCCTTTCCTTTGTGGGTGGAGTGGAGTGGGATGGTGTATGTGTGTGTGTTGATGTGTTGATCCTGGGGCTTGAACACAGGTCTTAGGTGCTGTTCCTACGCTTTTTTGCTTAAGGCTAGCACTCTACCACTTGAGCCACAGCTCCACTTCCAGATTTTTGATGATTAATTAGAGATACATGGATTTTTCTGCCCTGGCTGGCTTTGAACTGAGATTCTCAGATCTCATCCTCCTGAGTAGCAAGAATTACAGGCAGGAGCTTGAAACGTGATTCTTTCTAAGCCACTGCTTGCCAGCAAAGCTAACCTGTAATGACATGAATGAGTGGATGTGCTAGACCTCATGGTAGCATATTCCTCTGAATGATGTGACATAGGACTTAAGCTGAAAGGTGCAAGTTTCCTTAATTTGGGGGGAGAGAGTCCCTTCTCCCAGTGGGAAAGTGTTCCAAATTTTGAGGGTTTTTCACAAGGCACACCTTGGCCTTGTGTACAGGGTTTGTTCAGGACATTTTGCAAAGATGTTTACTAAGTACTGTTTGTAACTGACTGCATCTGTGTGGTAGAGGTCACAGTGCACTAGAAGCCAAAAAGAGCCTCAAGGTCAATTCCTTCCTCTGTGCCTCACTCACTGCCATCTCAAGACCATCTTCCACATTAAAATGGAAGGAATTAAGTGGGATCGCTAATTTTCAGTCTTTAAATTCTTTCAGCACTGAGATCTGTTTCTCAGTCTATTGTCTTTCTGACCATCTCTCACCCCCCCGATGAAAGTCAGTTTGCAATGAATCTGCTCTAGCTTCTCTTCCCTTCCCTACCTCTCCCAGGATCCTCAGGGTGAAACTTGGACAGCCCAGCTCCTAGCAACCCTGCGTCTGGTAAGCCAGGAGCCTGTGTCTGTGTTCCCTTAGGCTTCTAAAGGATGTTCCTTTAGGACAGTGGAATACAAGTTTGAATTCCAGAATCTAGGGTGTGCTGCAAGAGTTAAGTACAGGGGAATAAGAGCATAGACGTGGTTGTAAAGTTTTATTTAGCCAGGTGCCTCATACCTGTATTCCTAGCTACTTAGCTACTCAGGAAGCTTAGATATGAAGATTACGGTTCAAAGCCACCCTAGGCAGGAAAATCTGTGAGACTTGTATCTCCATTAAACTACCAGAAAAAGCTGAAGTGGAACTGTGTTTCAAGTGGCTGAATGCTAGCCTTGAGGAAAAGAAGCCCAAGGACAGCACCTAGGCCCTGAGTTCAAGGTCCCCAGGACTGGCGCACGAGCGCACGCGCACACACACACACACACACTCTCTTTTTTCAGAATGACTTTGAACAAGTCACATAACTCCTTTGAACCTTTGTTTCCTTATCACTAAAAGTCAGGACAGTTCTTGCCCTTGAACAAGATAATAGAAATATAAAGTTCCAACTCCAGGGCGCAGCACATTACTGATACATGAAGTATAGTTTCTGTTATTTTTTCTCCAGCTCTCCATACAAAGCAGAAACAGTATGGTGAGAAGAGACACCTACTGAATCAAATGTTTACTAGTAATATGGAGGTATAGTATGTACAATCTTGCACTTGGGGTCTAGACCAAAGTTAAACCCTAGCTGCTAGTACACACTAGCTGTGTATTCTTGGGGAAGTAACTTAACCTCTCTAAGCCTGCTCCTGGCAGACATGAACGAAGTCTTACAGAAAATAGACAGACTAGACCTCCTATCTGCTGAATGATTGTTGAGACAGCCCTGGGAAACTCTGGCCTGCCTGCATCCAGTGATGAGGCTGGCCCACCCAGGGGTGTGGTAGCTGAGTGAGACCTTGTGTAGCTCCTGATAATTCCTACCCCAGCAAGGAGGAAGATAGGATAAGAGGAGCCCCTGGGCTGATTGTAGGGAAGCTGAAGGGGCCCAGGGGACAGGCAGAAAGACTGTACCAGCACACTGACCACCAGTGTTCTAGTCCTGTTTTTGCCTCTTAACTTAGGTAAGTCCTTGCCCTCTCTGTAGCTTGAGCATCCATTTGTACAAGGAGCAGTTGGGCTAGGGCCTACCAGTCCCTGCAGCTCTAATTTTCTCCCTTTGCTTGGCTATTCATTGTTCCTCCAGGCACCTCTAAAAGGAAATATCTAAAATGGAACTCTTCCCAGTCATCTCCCACTCTAGTTTCCCATCATCTTCTGGCCTGGCCCTGGCCCTGCTGCCCTCCAGGTCAGGCGAATTTGGAGCATTTGCCCTAAGAGACTGACTCTTGGCTGACTCAAGATGGCCCTTCCTTCCTGCCTCCTGGCTCCTCAGAGCCTCTGTGCTCCTCTGCTTCCTGTCTGCTCTGTGCAGCCACAAGATTTATCTTCACAGTGGCTTTGGCCACAGCTTTACTCCCTGCTCAGAACTTTTTCCTGGCTTATTCTGGCCCTTCTTGTCCCCTCTTCTTCTGCCTATCTTCAGGACAGTGAGCAGCCATCTCCCATCCCCTTACCTGAAGGCACACTGTCCTCCCTTCCCCAGCCTGGCTGAACGCATACACCTGCAGAACAGAATGCAAACCCTCCCAACTCACATGGGACCCAAGGCCCTAGTGTGCCAGGCTCCTCACTCTGCAGTGCACTTTTAGTCAGCTTGTGAACTTGGGAGGAAGTCACCTGTGAATATGCCAGCTCCCCCTGGCACATCATACAGGCTCAAGGCACAAAAGTGATGCTCTGCTTCTTTCTGTCTTCTGTCCCTCCCTTGCTTGGCATGGTACTCATACTGTCTTCTACTTCATAGTAATCAGTGTTTACTAGCAGAGTCCTTGGGAGGGAGAGGTGAAATGAACTCATCCTGGGCCCTGCCCTGCAGAAATTCCTTCTACTGGCATGAGATAAGCTGGGCCACAAGGGCTGTTTCATAAGACACACTGCAAAGCAGGAAATATCAGCCCAAGAGAAGGAGAAGCTAGAGGCTTTGGGTGTGGGAGGTTGTGCAGAGAACTCAGTCTTTCCAGGTAAAGGGGACAAGGTGCCCTTGTGTGGGGACGGCAGCTGGGTGTCTGGCCCTCTATTGGCCTTACAGGTACTATTTGGTGGCTTTGTATATGTTGTGCCCAGTTCAAAGACCATACACCAAGGAGTTAGCAGCACTTTTTTTGATGAAGGTAGAATTACAGGATATTTTTCTCTTTTTGCTTACCTGTATCTTTCTAAGACTTCTGCTGGGATCATAGGGATATGCAAAGTTAAAATCTTGGCTGGACCAGTGCTTTTTGAAGTATGAGTAAGCAAGGATGCATTCTGGTTTTCTTTCTTTTTTATTTCCAATCCTTTGGTTAAATAACTAGTAACTTGTTACATTTTGTGTGTGTGTGTGTGTGTGTGTGTGTGTGTGTGTGTGTGTGTGTTGTACCAGGGTAACTTGTTACATTGTGTGTGTGTGTGTGTGTGTGCGCGCGTGTGTGTGTGTGTGTGTGTGTGTGTGTGTGTGTGTGTGTGTGTGTGTACCAGTCTTGTGGTACTTGAACTCAGGGCCTGGGAGCTGTCTCTGAGCTTCTTTTGCTCAAGGATAGCACTGTACCACTTGAGCCACAGCTCCATTTCAGGCTTTTTGTAGTTTATTAAAAATAAAAGAGTCTCAGGCTCAGGAGTCTAGCTCATGCCTGTATACCTACCTACTCAGGAGACTGAAATCTAAGGGTTAAGGTTCAAAGCAAGCCTGGGGAGGAAAGTCCATGAGACTTATCTCCAGTTAAATTTAAAAAGTTGGAAGTAGAGCTGTGGTTCAAGTGGTAGAGCTCTAGTCTTGAGCTCAAAAGCTCAGGGACAAGCACCCAGGCCCAGACTTCAAGTACTAGGACCAGCAAAAAAAAAAAAGTCTCAACAACTTTCATTCCCCAGGCTGACTTCAAACCCTGATCCTCAGATCTCAGGCTTCTGCCTAACTAGGATTGCAGGTATGAGCCACCAATGCCCAGTGTAAGTTGTTACTTTTGTGTGTCAGTACTAGGGCTTGAATTCAGGGCCTAGGCACTGTCCCTGAGCTTTTTTTCTTAAGGCCAGCATCTACACTTACGGCATAGCCTCCACTTCCAGACTTTTTTGTTTTATTTCTGATTTTTATGATTTCTTACCCTTAATTGAAGATAAGAATCTCACAAACTTTCTTGTTTGGGCTGGCTTCTAAGCATGAGCCTCAGATCTCAGCTTCCAAAGTAGCTAGGATTACAGGTGTGAGCCATTGGCACCCAGTTTTCCTAGATTTTTTTTTTTTAATCAAGACTAGCACTCTACCACTTGAGCTATGGGTCCACTTCCACCTTTTTGGGGTGGTTAAATGGAGATAAGAGTCTCATGAGCTTTCCTGCCCAGAGTGGCTTCAAATTACAGTTCTTAGATCTCAGCCTCCTGAGTAGCTAGGATTTCAAGTGTGAGCCACCAGTGCCCAGCTTAGTTGTTACTTAAAAAAAAAAAAAATGCTGGGAATGTGGCTCAGTTGGAAGAGTGCTTGCCTTGAATGCATGAGGCCCTGGGTTCAATTTCAGCCCCACATACACAGAAAAAGCCGGAAGTGGCACTGTGGCTCAAGTGGGAGAGTGCTAACTTTGAGCAAAGAGCAGCTCAGGGACGGTGACCTGGCCTTGAGTTCAAGCCCCAAGACTGGCAAAAAAGGGGGGGGGGGCGGGGCTGGGAAGGTGGCTCAGTGGTAGAGTGCTTGTCTTGCATGCATGAGGCCTTGGGTTTGATTCCTCAGCACCACATAATCAGAAAAGCCAGAAGTGGTGCTGTGACTCAAGTGGTAGAGCACTAGCCTTGAGCTGAAGAGCTGAGGAATAGTGCCCAGGCCCAGAGTTCAGGCCCCAGAACCGACCAAAAAAAAAAATGCTGGGTGCTGGTGACTCCCACCTGTAATCCTAGCTACTCAGGAGGCTGAGATCTAAGATTGGTGGTTCAAAGCCAGCCCAGGCAGGAAACTCCATGAGACTCTTATCTCCAATTAACCACCAGAAAATGGAAGTGGCACTGTGGCTCAAGTGGTAGAGCGCTCACCTTGAACTGAAGAGCTCAGGAACAGCACCCAGAACCAGAATTCAAGCCCCACGAACAACAGCTATATATACAGACAGACAGACAGATAGATAGATAGATGCCAGACAGTGTTCTGTCTTTAGATCCAGATTCCTCTGAAGCTTCTGAAGGGTTCCTTTCACTCCTCTTACCTTGTGGACCAGCAGGGATGTGGAAGAGCCATCTTCTAGATGTGAATATAGGATTCATGTCTCATGGTGTCCTGTTGCCCCCACAGAGCTGAGTCCCAGCACACAACCCAGGAGCCTTGATTGCATCCAGCTGACACCCTTACCATGCAGCCCCAGTCGGTTCTGCACAGTGGGTATTTCCACCCACTGCTTCGGTTCTGGCAGGGAGCCAACACCACCCTCAGTGCCTCCAACCTCATCTACCCCATCTTTGTCACGTGAGTCCCCAGGAATGGGCCTGGTCTGATCTGCCCAGGGTGGGGGGCAGCGTGTGACTGAAGCAGACATCAGTCTGATGATCAGGGGTTAAAGTGGGCTGACAGTTAGAATCAGAAGTGTTAGAAGTGGCCTAAAGGTTAAGAATAGCAGTCTTAGGGGAAGTGGCACTGTAGCTCAAGTGGTAGAGCGCTCGCCTTGAGCTGAAGAGCTGAGGGTCAGCGCCCAGGCCCAGAGTTTAAGACCCATGACCGACAAAAAAAAAAAAAAAGAATAGCAGTCTTAGGGAAATGAGCTCACCCCATTTGTAAAAGAAGTACCTTTGCCAGTTACCCTGAGCTTCTGCAATAGGTTCTCTCAGTGGTATAGTACTATGTATGTTAGACATGATTGTTAATAATAATCATGCAATCGTGATTATTAATGATAGTAACAAACATTTGCTGAATACTTACTGTGTACCAGGTACTGTGCTAAGCACTTTATTCAATCTTTTTTTTTTTTTTTTGTGCCATTTCTGGGGCTTGAACTCAGGGCCTGGGGCTAGCACTCTACCATTTGAGCCACAGTCCACTTCCAGCTTTTTTGTAGTTTAATGGACGTAAGAGTCTCACAGATTTACCAACCCAAGCTGGCTTCGAACCAAAGTCCTCAGATCTCAGTCTCTTTAGTAACTAGAATTATAGGCATGAGCCGCTGGGCCTAGCTCAATCTCTTTTTCGTTCTCTTCTTTTTTTCTTCATTCCTTTCAGCATCCACATGAGAGATAAATAGATATGTCAATTCATGGCAAGGACTTTTGTCTATTTTGTTCACTTAAAATAGTACCCAGTAGATAATAAGTACTTAATACAGTCAGGTGCTGGTGGCTCACACCTATAAGCCTAGCTGCTATGAAGTCTAATATCTGAGAAAGTCTGTGAGATTCTTACCACCATTTAATCACCAAAAAGCTAGAAGTAGAGCTATGGCTCAAGTGGTAAAGTGCCAGTCTTGAGTAGAAAAAGCTAAGGGATAGCTCCTACACAGATCCTGAGTTCAAGCCCCCAATTCTGGCACGCGCCCATGCACACACACACACACACACACACACAAAATACTCAGTATATTTTTGTTGAAGGGACTAAGGTTCAAGTTGGCCAAAGTTGCCCAATAATCAGAATGCATGGGATAGGAAGACAGGACCTTCTAGCTTCAAAGTCCAAGTTCTTAAGCACTGATTCTTTCCTGTGGTTACTGTTCTTTGAGTACAGCTGCTCTCACTGCCACTGTTATTCTTGTTGTTCCTATTATTCTTATTTTAGGCCCTGGGCTTGGCTAGGCAAGGGCACCAGAACCTGAATTCCACCCCCATCCTTCCATCTCCACTCCTACTTCCCTTCCCAGCTTCCTGGCCACCCCTCCCACTCACCCTACCACCAATGGCCCTTCCCACTGCCCCCATTCCATAGCCCGCCTCTCGCTCTTGCAGGGATGTTCCTGACGACATCCAGCCCATCGCCAGCCTCCCAGGAGTGGCCAGGTAAGAGATGGGCAGGGAGGGTAAAAGGATGGTGTGGGAAGAGATTTCATGGTTGAGGGTACCAGAAGGAAGCAGCAGACCCAGAAGGCGGCAGATCCAGACAGGTAAATTGTAGCTCAGTGAGGATAAGGGTTTTCTGGGGACTGAAGCTATAGCCCAGTGGAGGAGACAGCCTGATAAGATAATGCATACTCGCTCCATCACCTTGGTCACCATAGCAAAGGCTGTTGCAGAGAGAAGCTGAGCTAGAGGGAGAGTTCAGTAAGAGAACCTTGGAGGTTCACCCACAACTAATTCCATAACCCTGCTGCTTTGGTGCCTGTCTTTGGGTGGGTGCATTCCTCCCTGTGCTATTTGTGGGATTTTATGCCCTCCTGCTGCTGTGTGTAACTGTGTGTGTGGGGAGGGAGGGATTAGAGGAACCTGCTTACTTCAGTCCCTCTCCCTTCCTTCCCCTCAGGTATGGAGTGAACCGGCTGGAAGAGATGCTGAAGCCACTGGTGGAAGATGGCCTACGCTGTGTGCTGATCTTTGGTGTCCCCAGCAGAGTTCCCAAGGTGAAGAATCAGAGGAAGGCTGAAGGAGGGAGGCTGGGCCAGAGTGGGCTGAGGTTTACACACTGGCTTAGTCCTCCCCTCCTACTTTGTGCTAACATGGGTGTCATTGGTCGATGACCATCATGACTGCTCTTAAATAACACTTGTGTAGGGCCAGGAAGTTAAGTAGGGCTGTAATACCCTAGCTAAATAAGTCAAGCCCCCTCTCTGCATCTTTGCTGGCCTCTCTGCAAATGGGCTGGTCCCCCATGCAGTGGCTATGATGTAATTAAAAGAAAGGGCCTGGCTGTGCTCTACCAAATGTGGCTCCCAGATCTTCATATGTCACACATACCATGTTCTTCTAGGATGAGCGGGGCTCCTCAGCAGACTCCGAGGAATCCCCAACTATAGAGGCAATCCGGCTGTTGAGGAAGACCTTCCCTAGCCTCCTGGTGGCCTGTGATGTCTGCCTGTGCCCCTACACCTCTCATGGTCACTGTGGTTAGTTCCTCCCCTCCCTCCCACCAGCCCTGCAGGCACATACCTCCACTTGCCCACCTCACCCCCAAGCTGGGCCCAAAGTGTTCTGGAAACCCAGCCATCTTGTCCCACAGGGCTTCTGAGTGAGAAGGGAGCTTTCCAGGCTGAGGAGAGCCGCCAACGGCTGGCTGAGGTGGCACTTGCCTATGCCAAGGCTGGTGAGTAAAGTCCCCAGTAGGGACTGGGAGGTGGCAGAGTGGGTAGGAGGGGTTGGGAGTTCTGAACGCCACCCTCTGCTCTCCAGGATGTCAGGTAGTAGCCCCGTCGGACATGATGGATGGGCGCGTGGAGGCTATCAAGGAGGCCCTGATGGCACACGGACTTGGCAACAGGGTACTGGCAAGGCGTGCAGGGAGGGACATGGGCAGGGAGGAGAACACCAGGACAAATCCTGCCCCCGAGTACCAAGAATCAGACAGCACCAGATGAGGACTTTAAGAGCTGTCTAGACTTTTCCTCAAATTTGGGAAACCAAGGCTGTGAGTCTGCAGTGAGTCTGGGCTATCGGCACTGCTTCCTAGCTGAGCCCCTGTATCCTCCTCTTTTCACCCTGAGGCATATAGAAAGGATTGGCTGGGCCTATACCCCCACTGTCTCTCCATACAGGTATCAGTGATGAGCTACAGTGCCAAATTTGCTTCCTTTTTCTATGGACCTTTCCGGTAAGTGGGGCAGGCAGGGGTCTGTTACTTTATATGCCACTTGGGGGCAAAGCTGGAGTCCATCCTGGTGACTTTGCAGGGATGCAGCCCAGTCAAGCCCAGCTTTTGGAGACCGCCGCTGCTACCAGCTGCCCCCTGGAGCCCGGGGCCTGGCCCTCCGTGCAGTGGTGAGTGACCAGAGCCTGGGTCTCCCCAACCCCAACCTCAGCCTGTCCCCTTCCAGCGTTGTCATCCCCTGCCCCCCCCCTTTTTTTTTTTTTTGGTCCGGTCTTGGGGCCTGAACTCTGGGCCTGGGCGCTGTCCCTCACCTCTTCAGCTCAAGGCTAGCGCTCTACCACTTGAGCCACAGCGCCACTTCCGGCTTTTTTCTTTTTGCTTATGTGGTGCTGAGGAATCGAAACCAGGGCCTCAGGCATGCAAGGCAAGTGCTCTACTGAGCCACCTTCCCAGCCCCTCTGCCCCCTTTTTTCTGCATCCTTCAGGACCGGGATGTTCGGGAAGGAGCCGACATGCTTATGGTAAAGCCAGGAATGCCCTACCTGGACATTGTACGGGAAGTGAAGGACAAGGTGAGTACGAGGCAAAGGGAGCGGCTCAGGGGGCTCAGAGCCTTCACCTGTGGATACAAGGACTTAGAGGGAGGGGCTCTGAACTCTGAGTTGGAAGCACTCTTCCCCAAGCAGTCCTTCCCTCTCACTCCTCCCAGCTAACAATCTAGCTGCTACACCTGAGTTTGCAGGGGTCTTTCAACAGCTCTGATTGAACAGCCCTAGAACAGGCTGGGCTGCCAGCAGCCGTGATTCAGAATAGGGATCAAGACCATCACAGCATGGGCAGAGAGGGAGGGACACTCCTAGAGCACATGCACCCTCCACTTTAACCTATATATCCATGACTGCTTTCCTTTAGCACCCTGAGCTCCCACTTGCTGTGTACCATGTGTCTGGAGAGTTTGCCATGTTGTGGCATGGAGCCCGGGCTGGGGCCTTTGATCTCAAGGCTGCCGTGTTGGAGGCCATGACCGCCTTCCGCAGAGCAGGTAAACAGGCAGGGTGGGGTTTGTGACCTGCCATGGGGACTGATGGGCACTTTGCCCAGATAGGGAAACAAAATCATTTGAAGCCTGCACTCTTTGCCTGAAAGTTCTGATTTCTTCAGCCTCCTGAGTAGCTAGGAGGGACAGGCATGAGCCACCAGCACCCAGCACTTGAACTCCATTTATTTATTTATTATTTATTTATTTATTTAGGTGCCAGTTCTGGGGCTTGAATTCAGGGCCTGGGCACTGTCCCTGAGCTTTTATGCTCAAGGCTTTTTTTGTAGTTTATTGGAGATAAGGGACTCACAGACTTTACTACCTGGGCTGGCTTTAAACCACAATCCTCAGATCTCAGCCTCCTGAAGTAGCAAGAAGTATAGGTGTGAGACACCAGTGCCTAGTTTCTACTTCTTTTTTGCTTTGAGAACTTAAGCCATTTCTGTCCACTTTCAGGCCTCTATCTGTAAACTAGGGTACATGGTTATCCTGAGGATTCAGTGATACTGTGGGTATTTGACATATACTTACTTCTCCATAAACAGGAGCACGTTTTGTTACTATTGCATAGCATCCTGGTCATTGGGATGGATTCCAGCTTCAGCTCCAGCTTTGGGTGCAGGGGCAGCCAGAGTTTTAACACTAGACCCTGACCTACCCCATTCACTGGAAAGGTGCAGAGAAACAGGAAGCAAAGGGGCTGGGAAGGTGGCTCAGTGGTAGAGTGCTGCCTTGCATGCATGAGGTCCTAGGTTCAATTCCTCAGTACCATATAGGCAGAAAAAAAGCTGAAAGTGGCGCTGTGGCTCAAGTGGTAGAGCATTAGCCTTGAGCTGAAGAGCTAAGGATCAGTGCCCAGGCCCAGAGTTCAGCCCCCATGACCAACAACAAAAAGAAACAGGAAGCAAATTGGGTACTATAGCTGACCACTGATCCCTGAAGGGAGACAGTGTGGCCTAGGATCAGCCAGTTTTCCTAGATGCCATAAGGTGACCTCATGGCAAGGAGAGAGGTTTGTACAGCAAGAAAACAGAGATACCACATTTTAAGAGGAGTCTTTATTAAAAGGCCAGTGACTGCATGGTAGACTCCTGTCTCAAAGAGCAGCAGCCCCCCACAGAACAGAGCTAGTACATAGCTTTTAAAGACAAAAACCACATGCTTGGAGTAGTGACTAAGCCTTAACAGCCTTATCAGAGGTGTTATACATAAAACAAAACAAACTAGATAAGGATGATACTTATGTCTAATAAGCGTGTTATACATAGGCAAAACCAGCTATCCAGGGGAATAATCAGGGCCATCAGGACCCCAGTTATCTAGGGGAAGTATGGCTTTCCTGGAGCTCAACAATTCATGATACATCTGTAATCCAAAGAATGTCCTCTGTCACCTCTAGAGTTCGCAGAAAGTCCTCATCTTCTATTAACTTTATTTATTTATTTATTTATTTATTTATTTGCTGTTCCTGGGGCTTGAACTCAGGGCCTGGGGACTATCCTTAAGCTTCTCTGTGCTCAAGGCAAGTGCTCTACCACTTGAGCCACAGTGCCACTTCTGGCCTTTTCTGTTTATGTGGTACTGAGGAATCAAACCCAGGGCTTCGTGCATGCTAGACAAGCACTCTACCACTAAGCCACATTCCCAGCCCCAATTCTATTAACTTTTATTAAGATGTCCTTATTTCTAGAGGAGGTCTCAGCATGTCTATAGCTCAGTTTCATTGCAATGCCGGGCCTTGACTTCCACATACCAGCATAGGAAGGGAACTTGGAGTCACCTGTCTCACCCCCTGCATTTCATGCATTGGCAAACTGAGGCCCAGAAAGAGAAAATGCCTAACCCAAGGTCTGGAGATGACTGAAACCAGGCTTAGACTTAGGCTGTGTCCTTACAGGCTGCAACCTTCATGGTGGCCTCCTTGCCTGAGCCTCGTTCGTCTCCCAGGTCTGCTCAGAACTGACACCTTGTTTCCTCCCCTGCTTCCCCACACAGGTGCTGATATCATCATCACCTACTACACACCTCAGCTATTGCAGTGGCTGAAGGAGGAGTGACAGAGAGGACAGGACTCAAGAGCCAGACTTTGAGAAGGTTCCCAGAGCCATGGAGATGTGAAAACCAAAGTAAATGCTGCTGTTTGAACTGTGCCCTGTGCCCGATTCCTGCCCACATGCTGGCAGAGGCCCAGCACCCTGAGTGGTTTATGCCGCACACCAAACCTTAGCAGTCACAGCTGCAGCCTCACATGCTCTTCCTTGCTTGCTCAGGCTCAGGCCTGAGTCTCGTCTCCCCACCTCCCACACTTTTCAGTTGTGGCTTTAGCAAACTGCAACCTAGAGTCCCAGGCATAAGCCTAGGGCCTAGCAGAGGGGCTTGGATCATTAAGCCAGAGGAAAGCAGTTGGCTCAGGAAAGCCTAAGTCCTCTGACAGTAGATCAGGAGTGAGGCCTAGCTTGACATCTGAGTTTAGAGTTGAGCTGTGTTGTGATTCCAGAGAAAAGCATTTCCCACATAGACCAGTGATCACCAGGCAGCCTGAAATCTGTTCCACTCAGAGCCATAGACCGGGGAGAAGATTTATTAACAAGGATCGAAATCCAGAAGCAAGAAGGAGTTCCTGACTGCTGGAGATACAACCACCAGCAAGGCTTTTATTCATGAGAGAAGTTTTGAGAATCTCAGCTCTTCCTGGGCACAGTGCAGGGTGCTATGAATGTGACAACAAAGGCAACCAGCTTGTGTCTTCATGCAGTTTATGCAGAGAGAAAGGGGGAGATAAGAAAACAGACTAATAAAGCAGTTATAAATAATGATAAGTATTTTAAAGGAAGAAAAGGGTTTGAAAATCAAAGGGGAGAACCCTCTGTTTTTTGTTTCATTTTGGTTTTTTGGTGGCACTGAAGATCAAACCCAGGCCCTGTATAGGCTAAGCAAGTACTCTACCACCAAGTAATATCTGAATTGTTGGCATTTGGAGAAAGGGCCTTGGTATATAGAGAGCCCAGATTGGCCTCCAACACACGTCCTCTAACTTCTCTGGATTCCTGCTAGAATTATAGGCATTTACCACACCCAGTGTCAAGTTCCCTCTTGAGAATGTTTGGAAAGCACTCCCTGGGGTTGAGACTAGAGAGGGACAAAGGTGGCTCAGTGGTAGAGCGCTTGCCTTGCATGCCTGAGGCCCTGGGTTCGATTCCTCAGCACCACATAAGCAAAAAGAAAAAAAGCCGGAAGTGATGCTGTGGCTCAAGTGGTAGAGTGCTAGCCTTGAGCTGAAGAGCTGAGGGACAGTGCCCAGGCCCAGATTTCAGGCCCCATGACCAGACCCAAAAAAAAAAAGATCCTAACTGAGAGGAAGTCATAACAGCCATAAGACAACAAATATAAGCCAGATCTGGTGGCAGACACCTGTAATCCCAACTCTGATTAAGCTCAAGCAAGCCAGGGTAAAAATGCTAGACTATATCTCAAGAACAAAATACAAACAAAAGAGCCAGCAGAGTAGCTGAAGAGGTAGAGTGCTTGCCAGACATGCTGGAGGCCCTGGGTTCAATCCTCACCACCCCTAGCCCCAAAAAGGCAAAGACCCTGTGATGGGAGGAGCTTAGCAGGGCAGTGGGGACAGGGGAGGAACAGGAAGGTGAATAACGGCAGAGGTAGAATAGGCCAGCTTTCATACTAGGTTTTGTTTTTGGTAAGTGGAGAATTGGAGCTGCTGCAGTAAGCCCAATTCTTTTTCATTCTTAGAGGCTGTTAGGTTTATAAAAAGAGGTAGCAGAGTAAGAACAGCACCATGCACATGATACTCAGGTAAGGGGTAGGTTTATTCAGTAGACCTTCTGGGACCAGGCCAGGTTGGCACTCCACGAGGCTGGCAAAGAGGGCGACTGGCCCTAGGTTAGGCCTTATCTAGGGTAGGGGCGGGGAAAGGTGTGTCCAGGTAAAGAGAGGTGGGACCAGGTGGGAGAAAGGTGTGGCCACATCAGATCCAGATGTGACCTCAGCGGATGCAGATGTGACCTCTTCCAGGTGTCCCAGTTGCCTAGGTAACGCAGGTAATGGGCGGGGTCTGCTCATCATCCAGGAATGGACCTTACAGAGGCCTGTGTGGCCAACTCAAGACCTAATGTCACCTGTTCTCTGCCTTCCAGACAGTGTCAGGCCAAGATCAGGTTTTTAAACAGCCTCAAATACTGGGCACTGGTGGATCACACCTGTAATCCTAGCTACTCAGGAGGCTGAAATCAGGATCGTGGTTGAAAGCCAGCCTGGGCAAGAAAGCTATGATAGAGTACTAACCTTGAGCAAAAGAGCTCAGGGATAGCATCCAGGCCCCGAGTTCAAGCCTATGACTGACAAGTAAATAAAGGGCCTCAGTCCTTGACCTCTGGAAGCATTAGCCAGGATCTACCACCTAGGGCCCAAATCACTAATCACAGACAAGCCTTGGTGAGCCAGGCATGGAGCTAACCAGAAACCATCCCTTCTGGACCTCTAGTCACCTAACCTCAGGCTCTTCTTTCCTGGTTGAGAGGATCAATGCAGAAGCAAAATATTATTTCCTTGACTATCCCGGACCCATCATTGCTGAGCAAGTAACTGTTCAGGCACAGGGCGATGCCACCATTATATAGAACTGTGTATGTACAAACCAGACCCACCAGGGAGCACTTGGTGAATAAATGCTGAGCAGCCTAAGGAGGAGTCCCTGAGAACCAGGAGGCAGACACAGTGACTAGGGGTGGGAATGAGGCCACCAGGCCCTGACCTGATTCAAAGGATCAGAAAATGCTTCCCTGAAGCAATAACATTTGGATGAGAGTCCAGGCTAAGACATGACTGAGCAAGAGCATTCAAAACTGAAGGAATGGTTACGCCACAGCTAGAGGAGCTAGATGGAGCTGGAGGAAACAAGGCTGGTGTCGCTGGGGCATCAGAAAGGACTGGGGAAGAGGAGGCCAGAAGAAAGACAGCCCAGGCCCACCGTGCAGGGGCCCAAAGGCCACATTAGCCCTTTCAGACTTGGATCTTCCAAGATCTAAGGGAGACATTTGATGGGTGTTAGCAGGAGAACGACCCCATTAATGGACATTTTTATCAAACCATTTTGATTGCACCATGCAAAATGCAGATGAGAAATCTGGAGGGACTGGACTGGCGTGGTGATGAGATGGAAAGCAGAAAACAGATTCAGGAAGTGTTTAGGACATAAAGTAGAGATGAGCAATGAGCTTAATCTGAGTGCTGATTAAGTGAGACAGCAACACATAAAACAGGTGTAGGACACAAGAGAAATCCTAAATTGAGCTTGGGATGGTGTGCAGTGACAAAGACCACAGGGTTTTATGTCACTCACCAATGGCAACTCAGTAAGTTTGTGGCAGAACTGAGTTGAAATCTTAATTATGCAAAAAGCCAGGGTGAGGATCCAAACCTATATAGTCCCAACTCTAAGGCCTCTGCCCTTAGCAAAACAATGGATCTAATGGGAGAGTTGGCTCAGATACTGAGGGAAGACCCCAGGGACATTTGCCTTCAACCCCACAGTATTTTGTCTACACATCTAGTAACAGGCGGGCATCAGGAATGAACTGGAAGGGTTGGGTCCTGCTCTGTGCCCTGCCCTACCTTGTGGTTAAGTTTATCCCGGGACTGAAGCTCAGGCTTTCACAATCTGTCAAAGCATCTTATTAGTCTTGCAGGCATCTCAGCAGGTGATGAGCATCAGGAGCCTCTCACAGACCTGATTTTCTTGTTTCCCTTTCAGAGGTGCCAGCTTAGACTATAGCTTATCCTTTCAGCAGGCATTTTAATTGTCCGCATTCCTGACAGCAAAAATCACCAGTTTTCCAATTAGGGAAAGTTTTCCAATTAGGAAAGGTTCCCAGCCCCATGAGGACTCTGCCAGGAGCATAAATTAGAGCCAAGTAGTAAGAAGTGAACTGGCTAGATTTCATAGCTGGATCTAAATATAGCCAGCTGTGGGTGAGTCTCAGTCAAAGGCTTTCATGGAGGACTCTTGTCCCTTTGTTTTTGTTTTGGTCCAAGACTAGGACTTAACATTGGGTATCTGATGATTTCATTCATTGGCTAGTGCTCTACCAACTGAGGCATACCTCCAACCCACTCTGTCCCCTTCTAGGGCACATCTGTAAGTGCCTCCACTTGGCTTTATTCTCAGGTGAATCTTAGCCACTTGGCAGCAACATGATTCCTACTAACTACAGGCTTAAGTGGTCCTTAAGGTTTATGAAATCCCACAGAAAGCTCCCTTCTGCCCTACTATATTGCAAGTCTCTCTAGAAGTCTCTGATTGGCTCCTTGAGTCACATGATCACCTGGCTCAGTAACAGCAAACAGGGAAGAGAGATAGGGCCCCAAGATTAAAGTGTATACTCATTACAGTAAGGCTGGTAGGGACTCAGGTAAGACTGGGTCTAGCTTAGAACCCACTATGTAGGCCATCATCCTGCCCTGCCTCTGCCTCCCGAGTGCCACCACCATGCCCAGTTTAGACCAATGATCAGTCCTCTTTACATGGAACACTTTCCTGATTCCTTTTATGATGTTATGATCTCAGTTTAACTGTCACTTCCTCAAGCCTGACTCAACACCTGGTCTAAAGTCATCCTCTGTATTAGGATTCAGGATCTGTGGATATAACAAAAGCCAATATATAACAGTATCTTAAGATAAAAAATTTACTTCTCTAGTAAATGTGTCTAGTCCTACACACACCCACATACCCTCACTTAGCATATTGAGAAGCTAAGACCCAAAAAGGGAAAGAAAGAGGGTGAATCAGTTGGAACCAGGCTTAGGATTAGGTCTCTAAAATCACTTCCTGTCAGGACAGCCAGAACCTGGGCTTAGGTTTTAGTAGATCTTGAAAAATGGTGACCCCAAGAATCTCTGGATTGGACTTCTGCACTCTCAGTCAACTTCCCCATCCCCACTCTGGATATTATGCTAGTGACACAAAGCCGGTTTCCCAGGTGAGTCCCAGAATCAAGTTCTTCCTCCCAGAGGCTCCTGCTCTGTGCTTTTGCACTTTGTCCTCCCCTGAGCCCCAGCCCAGGGAGGTGCTGTTAGTTCTGAGTGGAAGCAACTGACAGCCAAGGAATACAGGAAGCGGTTTAAGAGGGTGGAGCATAAGAAGAATGCCAGGTGGGGTGAGGAAGCTGCGTCTTTCCTCCCAAGTCTCCCCTTGCTGTGCGACCTCAGCACTCTGAAATCAAACTGGTTATTTACTTGATTTTTTCCTGTCCCAGCCCCTCTTCCATTCAAGCAGGAAGCAGCTGGCTTCTCACAAAGTCTCTGAGAAGACCAAGGTCAGACACTGAGCACAGATACTTATTTAGCAGTTGGTAAATAAATGAGGCTGGGAAACAACTTTCACTTTTTACTTTGATCATACTGATATTTTTAGTTGATTTTTTTTTTTTTTGCAAGTACTGGAGCTTGCTCAAGGTTAGCACTGTACCACTTTACCACTTTGAGCCACAGCACCACTTCCAGCTTTTTCTGTGGTTAACTGGAGATAAGAGTCTAAGTGGACTTAACTGCCCAAGCTGGCTTTGAACTGCAATCCTTATATCTCAGCCTCCTGAGTAGCTAGGATTATAGGCATAAGCCACCAGACCAGTTAAGTATTTAGATGAATACATATTACTTTTGCAGGCCTAGTCTTTTTCCTTTTTTTTTTGGTGCTGGTCCTGGCACTTGAACTCAGGGCCTAGACATTGTCTCTGAACCTCTTTGTACTCAAGCTTAGTGCTCTACCATTTAAGCCGAAGTGCCATTTCCAGCCTTTCCTTTTTCCCCCCAATACCCCCCTGTCGGTTGTGGGGCTTGAACTCAGAGCCTAGGTGCTGTCTCTGAAGTGTTTCCACTCTACTACTTTGAGCCACAGCTCCATTTCCAGTTTTCTGATGGTTAATTTTGGAGGTAAGAGTCTTAAGGACTTTCCTGCCTGGGCTGGCTTTGAATCATGATCCTCAGATCTCAGCCTCCTGAGTAGGATTACAGGCTTGAGTCACCAGCACCCAGCTTTTCTTTTTTAAGAATTTTTTTTTTTTAAGGGCAGCTTGTTTATTACAGAGAACCATATCCGCCATCAGCAAGTTGTCCTGGGTGAGACAGACATGCCTTCAACCAAAAGTAGTTCCCTCCTAGTATGGGTTGAGGACTAATCATCACTAGGGAGGAGGGCCTTCCAAAAGGGAAGGGGCCTGCTACTTGGCTCCTGGGTGTCTAGTTTGTGATGTTGCAAAAAAACTTTAAAACTCATCAAAGTAGAAGCCAACGAAGGGTATTAATAAAACAAAGCGAAGGGAAGACAGTACACAGCCAGACACCAGTGGGAGCACTTCTGGGCATTTCTCAAAACCCATACAAAGGAGGGTCTGGCATCTCAAGAATTTACAGTGAAAAAGTACAGTCGGAGGTTTGGCTCAAGTTTACCCTAGGTTGAGTGTTTCTCTTTGATCTGAAGTCTAGAACATTTTTACATTCTTGATGGTTACAGTGCCTTGTCTCCAGAGACTGGAGTTGGTCTCTTCATTAACTTTGGGTTACTGCGACAAAAAGTGGTTCAAGATCTCTTTAAACCAAGGGTGTATTCTACCAGATATTCTCTTCAAGGTAGGCATCTATCCTTGAGATAAATATTTTTCTTTATAAACTCATTTGGTATCCAGAGGAGTCATTTACCATATGGCTTGTTTTTCCAGCATAAGTTTAAGATACTGTATTCTTGTTCAGTTCCCATGGCACACAGACACGGTATATGTGTGTGTATATATATGTATGTGTATATGTGTGTATACACATAGGCATTATACATAAATGTGTGTGTGTGTATATATATATATATAATCTTCTGTGCTTTTAACCAAGCTATTCATTAATCTAGCATTTCTCTCTGAATTCGTGGCTGCTGTTCCCATGCCTCATTGTCCTTGATCTGTCCAGCCTCATACCACTCTGCACAAGGAGAGGCTCTGAAGGCATCTCCCAGCTCCAGGCTCCTTAAATCACTCATCCAAGGCTCCTCCCCAGATTAACCAGTCAGGCCAGCCTTCCCCCTCTTCCCTCCCTCCGCCCCGCCTTGTGTGCCCAGGCTGCACTCTGGCCCCCGGGTCGGGGACAAACCTCCCTCTGAGGGCTCAGCTCTGACTGGGGAGAGAAGCGGCTTGCGGTCTCAGGGCTCCGGGCCGGAGGACGGAGGACGGCTTTCCGGTGCACCGGGTCAGTGATCGCCCCGTGGGCTGGCCCGCCAGGCCGGTGTTTAGTCTCCCAGGCAAGGATGAAAAGCTGGGGCTCCGCTTCGGCCCGGTGCCTCTCCGGACGTCCTGACGCCAAGGAGATCCGGGGGTGCTGGGTGGTGAGGTCAGCCCGGTGGGGAGAGGGCGTACGGGGGCGGGATGGGGGCGGGGCCGGGAGCCTGGACGGTGCGAGGTAACGGAAGGCAGCGACGGGGACGCGGGACCCGGGCGCCGGGGACCGGGCCTCGAGGGCCGGAGGCGGGGCGGGAGGCGGAGCCGAGCGGGGACGGCGGTTCCGGAGCCCGCGGCCCCCATCCTGGCCGGTGCCTTCCGCGCCCGGTGGGTGCTGGGCCCGGGCCCCGCGTCGATCGTGGGAGCTCGCAGGCCCCTCCCGGACCACGCGGCCTGGGTCAGCTGGAGGCAGGTTGGGTTTTACCCCCGGGCTCCCCGGACCTGGCTCCGCCGGACCCCGGAGGAGGGGGAAGGGGAGCCATCGGGCGTGCAGTCCGAACCCCCAGCCCCACCTCCCGTACCTGGACGAGGGCGGTGGTCGGGAGCCTGAGCCAGAGACCCCTGTGGGAGCCGGGACGAGTGTGGCCCTCGCTGGGGCTCCACATCCACCCGCCTGCACGGAGGCTCCAAGTGGATCGCCCTGCTCCAGGAAGCCCTAAGTCCATCTGCTCGCCCCCCCCTTTTCTACCCTCCCCCCCCCCCCCCCAAAAGCAGCCTAGCTGCACTCTGCACTCTGGCACATCCGGGTCAGGGGACAGCCATCATCTGTGTCTGGAGAGAAACAAAAACAAAACAGCTGCGTTCAGCCCCTGGCTGAGAACTGCTTTCCTGTGCACCCATCGGGTCAGGGATTATCCCTTGGGCTGGCCTGCCAGACAGGTGTTGTTGATTCCCGGGAAGGATGGAGAAGATGGGGCTCAGCTTCAGGGAAGGTTAGGGACAGGCTGTGCTGTGTTGTATAGGTTCGGCAGAGTCCATGTTGATCACACGTGGAGACCACTGCCTGCCTCTAATCCCACCTGTGGCCCCCCCTCAGGGTGGCCTCAACCCTCCCCCAACACCTACCTGCCAGGTGCAAAGTCTGCCTGTAGATAACTGCTCAGCAATAGGGTCCACAATCCGGGCCCCTCGTTTACCTGTATGGGCCCCTACTTTACATGATGTTATGTCTAAGCATGGCAAAGTGGAAGGGAACACAGCCAGAATAGGAAGTTCAAGTTCTAGGCCTGCCTGGCTGTTTTGCTGGCTCACTGTGACCGTAGGCACAAAAGCTCCTCTGTCTGCCTCATTGTCTTCACTGCTCAGCAACCAGGGTGCTGGCCATGTGGTCTGTAAAGGACTTTCAGCCTTTTGACATTGCTAGTAATAGCAATAGCAGTCATATTCCTTATCTCCACCTATAAGGCTGCCTGTGCTGAAATCTGTCTACACAAAGTACAAGACTCTTTGCTTTGCCCAAAGGACCTTTGCACTTATTTTCACTGCCAGGACCAAGTTAACCACTTCCACAACTTGCCCCTGTTTGTTCTTCAGATCTCCACTTGATTTCCAAGATCAGACTGGGTCCCTGGATTTTATATCCTCCTGATACATACTGACTTCACAAACTACTGGTGTATAGTTCTTCCTCTAATATCTATCTCCTGTATTCTTTAATGTCTATAAATGCCAGGAGAGCTGGAAATGTGTCTTGTTCCCCAGCATCTAGCTCATTATTTGCTGTGGGATGTACAATCATATTTAAGCCATAGTCATATGAGGTCAGTATCATTGTGCTACTCTTACACATGAGACAGTTCACAAAATGACTTCTGAAGGTTCTGCAGTTGACAGTACTAGGGTTTGGACCCCGTCTCTGGGACCTCAGGACCTCCTCCTCCTCCTCACCAGCTGTTTCTCCTTCCAGGAAGGAGAAGATTGTGAAGATCTTGTGGCCAACAAGGCCTTGTGGAAGGGAGGACTTATCCAGCCCAGCATCTCCTTGAACTGAGAGGGACCTGAGGCAGACTTGGCCTCTTCCATGGCACACCGGCTGCAGATTCGCCTACTGACGTGGGATGTGAAGGACACACTGGTCCGGCTCCGCCGCACTGTGGGGGAGGAGTATGCCACCAAAGCCCGGGCCCATGGCCTGGTGGTGGAGCCCACAGCCCTGGGACGAGCCTTTGGACAGGCATACAAGGCCCAGAGTCACAATCTCCCCAACTATGGCCTGAGCCAGGGCCTCACCTCCCGCCAATGGTGGCTGGATGTGGTCCTACAGACCTTCCACCTGGCAGGGGTGCAGGATGCCCAGGCTGTGGCCCCCATTGCCACACAACTGTATGAAGACTTCAGCAGCCCCAGCACCTGGCAGGTGTTGGAGGGAGCTGAGACCACCCTGAAGGGGTGCCGCAAGCGAGGTCTGAAGCTAGCAGTGGTCTCCAACTTTGATAGACGGCTTGAGGATATCCTGGTGGGCCTTGGCCTGCGGGAACACTTTGACTTTGTGTTGACTTCTGAGGCTACTGGATGGCCCAAACCAGACCCCCGAATTTTCCATGAAGCTTTGCGGCTTGCTCAAATGGAACCCACAGTGGCAGCCCATATTGGGGACAATTACCACTGTGATTACCAGGGGGCTCGGGCTGCAGGCATGCACAGCTTCCTGATAGCTGGTCCAGCACCTCTAGACCCTGTGATCAGGAACTCTGTGCCTGAAGAACATCTTCTTCCCTCACTGTCCCATCTCCTACCTGCCCTTGGCCGCCTGGAGGGTGTGTGTCAATGAACAGTTGAGGCAGGGAGCCCCTCCTTTTCCTCAGCTCTGGACTGGGATCTTCCTTCTGCAGCCTCCATCCTCTATTTTGACCATAAAACTGGGCTTTAGCCTTGTCCTATTAACCAGCTCCTGGTCTCAGAGCCCTCATTCATCTCCTCCCCCTCCCCCCCTCACTCGCTCTGTGTGGTGATAATAAAGATTGAGTTCAGAGCCTTAGCTCACTAGGTAAATACTCTACCATTGGATCCATGCCCTCAGTAATTCCTCCCTCAACCCCCATTCCCCCCCGCCCCCTGTATTTGTTGGCTTTGGACTTCCACCCCCAAGTAGATGGGATTGTAGACATGTACAACATGCAACTTTTTATTTTTATTTATTTTTGGTTGTGGGACTTAAACTCAGGGCCTGGGCACTGTCCCTGAGCTTTTTTACTCAAGGGTAGTGCTCTACCACTTTGAGCCACAGCATGCCACTTCTGGTTTTCTGGTGGCTTATTAGAGATGTCTCACAGCTTTACCTGCCCAGGCTGGCTTTGAACTGTGATCCTCAGATCTCAGTCTCCTGAGAAGCTAGGATTATAGGCGTGAGCCACTGGCACCCAGCTACAACTTGTTTTTGAGATGAGGCCTTGCTTTTTTGGTATGTTTCGGTCATGGGGCTTGAACGCTGGGCCTGGGCACTGTCCCTGAGCTCTTCAACTCAAGGCTAGCTCTCTACCACTTGATCCACAGCGCCACTTCCGGTTTTTTGGTGGGTAATTGGAGTTAAGAGTCTCACGGACTTTCTTTCCTGGGCTGGCTTTGAGCCTCGATCCTCAGATCTCCGCCTCCTGAGTAGCTAGGATTATAGGTGTGAGCCACCAGTGCCTGGCTTATACCAGGTACTTTCAAACTTCAGTTTGTGAGGTCCTTTTGCAACTAGAGATCTGAAAGTCACTAATGCGAAACAAATTTTTTAAAAAAATGCTGAGCAGAAGTCCTAAGGCTTCTCATTATGCCTCAGAGACCTCCCCCATTCCCGCCCTTGGAATCCTAAGGTCAGATTAGTTTGAAAGTCAGAGTGGTGTGCTATGCTGTAGGGACACTGTCCACTAACACTCATAGTTTGGAGAACAGATTCAAAACAAAGAATGTCATAATTATAAGATATAATGTCATAATTATAAGACATGCCAGTAGCTCCTGTCTATAAACCTAGCTACACAGGAAGCTGAGATCTGAGGATCCCTATTTAAATCCAGCCCAGGCAGACAAATCTGAAACACTCATTTCCAATTAATGAGCAAAAGGTCAGAAGTGGTAGAGTGCCAACCTCAGTGGGAATTAAAGCCAACTGAGAGTTGGCTTGGGATCAATTCCCAGTATCTGAGCATGTGCACACAGGCACACAAGGAACACTGCTAACTTACATCTGTCCTTACATCTCAGTTCATCTGTATATACAGCTCTCCAAATTTTATAGTGGGCACAAGTGGTAGACCCTCACCACAAATGAACTAGATGTGGGAATAAGTAAGGTGGCACCACTGAGTTTGGCCATTAGGTTACAAACAGGTAGGAGCCATATCACAGGAGACAGTAAAGTGTTGTTGATCCAGGGAGAGGAGGAGAGCTATCTAGAGCAGTGTCAATTTTATGGGGTACCTGATTAGACCTATAGGTTCAGCACAGGGTAAGACACCTCAGGGAGCCACTGCTGGTTTCAGGGATGAGAGGAGAACCACAGGACATTTAAAAATTCCCTGTCCTGTCCTGGGGTTTGAACTCTGGGCCTGGGAACGGTCCCTGAGCCTCTTTTGCTCGTTAGCACTTTACCACTTGAGCCACAGTGTACTTCTGGTGTTTTGTTTTGTTTTGTAATTTATTGGAGATAAGGCTCATGGGCTTTCCTGACCAGGTTGACTTCAAACCACCATCCTCAGATCACAACCTCCTAAGTAGCTGGGATTATAGGCGTGAGCCATTAGCACCTGGTTAAAATTCCCTTTCTTCCTGCCTTGTCTACACTGGTCATCTCTGTGCTTTGCCTAGTGTGATAGGCAGGTGTGAGTGTAGCAAAAGCAGGTACCAAAAGCAGGGAGGGCTCTGGTACTTGAACTGGCTTGGAGTTGGGGTGGTACTTGGACAGGATGAGGGGTAGTCTCTGAAGCAGGCTATGAAGCTTCTTTGGGGAGCTGGGTTGGTAGAAGGAACATGCTATGGCCTGCAAATGCCAAGTAGATATTGGCTTTGACAAAGGTGTTTTTGTTTTTGGTGCCAATACTGCAGGCTTGAATTCAGGGCCTTGAGCTCTTGCTTGGCTTTCTTCACTTAAGGCTGGTGCTCTACCACTTAAGCCATGCCTCTAACTAGCAAAAAGCTAGTTCAAACTTTAATCCTCAGATTTCAGCCTCCAGAGTAGCTGGAATTACAGGAATGAGCCACCAGTATCTGATTTGACTCAGATTTCTAAGAAAGGGCTGTGTCCAGGCAGAAGCAGAAAACTCTGGGTTGAACAAAGCCTCTAGATCTGTCTTCATTGGACCTGACACCAGGCCAGGTAGTTAAGCAGTCATTTCCCCAAGAATCGGGCAGGGAGGACACAGGTCACAAACTATGGTTTCACTATTGCAAGGGCTCAGAGATCATCTCAATCAAGAGTTGAGCAGAAGGCCTGTGGGTTTGATCTGCCCAGTGCTGGGAGTAAGCTGTGGAGATTTCATCTAAAACTGTTCTAGGAGAACTGGCCTAGTATGGGCAAGTTCCGGATCCATCCCCAGCACTAAGAAAAAAAGATTTCACATAAACATTGTGATCCTTCAGCTTTTATTCAAAGGTGTCTTCTCCCAGCCAATCTGTACTACATTTTAGCATTTTACAAATAGCTTGACAGAGTAGCACTTATCTGGAATCTTGGGTTATTTCAGTTTATTGCTCACTGACACCAGCCAGCCTTACTTTTTGTCATCTCCCCCAATGAAGCAGTGATTTTTCAAACAGCTCTGCGGCTCCCAAAGTGGAGAAAACTCTGATCACATTGGTCTGGACCCAGAAACAAAGTCAGTGAAGGTTTTGTTTGCAATGCTTTCTGCAAACAATCCAGGGCCTTCAGCAGGTAAGCATGGACTCTATCATTAAGTCATAACCCCAGTCCTGCTTTTAAAGATTGTTCCTGGCTGGGTGCAGTAGCTCACACCTGTAAGCCCAACTACTCAGAAGGGCAAGAGCAGGAAGATCCTAGTTTGAAGTCAGTCCAGGCAAAAAAGCAAAGCCCTACCTGAAAAGTAAGAAGCAAAAAAAGGCTGGAGGTATGGCTCAAGTGGTAGAGTGCCTGACTAGCTAGCATGAAATCATGGGTTCAAATCTAAGTACCCACCACCACCACAAAAAAAAAAAGTGTTTTTAGACAAAAGTTTGAGGGCTGGGCACAAGCAGCTCACACCTATAATCTTAGCTACTCAGGAGGCTAAGGTCTGAGGATCGTGGTTCAAAGCCAGCCTAGGCAGGAAAGTCTGTGAGACTCTTACCTCCAATTAACCACCAGAAAAAAACTGGAAGTGGCGCTGTGGCTCAAGTAGTAGAGTGCTTGCCTTGAGCTGAAGAGCTCAGGAACAGTGAGTGCCCAGGCCCAGAGTTCAAGCCCCATGAACCAAAAAATAAATAAAAAAATATAAAAAAATTGATGATCATTATTCCTGGCTGAAATCCATGTGGAGAACACAAGTGAAGTATTTTCCCTTGGGCCCTAGTGACATCACCTCAGTACAGGCCTAAGGGTACAGAAGACTAGGGCATGTAGTATGTAAGCAATCACCCACAGAGATCAAGGGAGACATCTTTTAGTCTTTGAAAACCTTTAATAACATTCATGTCCTTAGGGCCAGCCCTCTTTCCTCCTCAGCAATCTCAGTCTTGAAGCGCTCAGCCCAGGCTCTGCTTTAAGGAAGAAGACCCTTAGGTGGGACACCCATCAGCCATAGTTACAGGGAATTTTACTCCATTATCACAGGCAGGCTGGTGGCAGTTTCCATGGCTGGGCCCAGGGGTGGGGGAATACAGCACTCTCAGGCTGCTCTTCTGTCACTAGAAAAATATCTTCTGTATGGGCCATGTCATGAAGAAGATGGAGAGGCACAGGATGGGGAAAATAAAGAAGCTTTGGCCACAGGTTTCTTTGTAGAAAATTACTTCCACCACCCAAAGCTTGGGGGTTCTCCAGGAAATACCTCATCCGGTTACCTGTCCATCCATCCACACATCCATCCACTCACCAAATAATTACTACACACTCATTTTGCATCAGGCACTCTATATGCTGGAAGCTAGACCTAGTCTGTTGAACAAGAGGCCCTCGCAAGGGCACACATATGGTGGGTTGGAGACACTGATGCTGAGACATCCACTCCCTGCAGACACCCAACATTTAAAGGGTGTGCCAGATCCAAGACAGATTCCCACTGCTCCTACAGCTGCCCACTAAGCAGGGGCCATTTCCCTTAAGAAGCCCCCCTATACATCAACTGGGAAAAAGGACTCCAGGGAGAAATGTGATTTCATCTTCCAAGATGGTGCGGAAGTGAAGCTGGGCCCCCTGTGATCAGAGGTCAGTGGATGATGGAGATGGTCTGGTCGGCCACAGCGAAGACTGGGAAGAGGGGTGCGGGGAAGGACGTATGGAAGGTGAATAACACGGTCCCTGATGCCGGCTCATAGAAGAGCAGTTCTCCTGCTTGGAGGTCCAGCAGCACACCCAACTGGGCTGGGCACTGCAGCAGCCCCAGGGGCTCATGCTGCCCATTGTGCAAGAAACGGAACTCTTGGTCGTAGCGTGAGAAAACCCATGAGAACTCATTGTGGCCCAGGCGGCAGTCATTGCCAGAACCCTTGCGGGGCAGCTGACCCGAGGCCACGCCCACTTTATAGGCACAACTGTTCTGGACGTTTACCACCCAGGCATGGAGCCCCTCCTGGAAAGAAGTGGCTGCCAGGGCGTTGGGCCAGTGGTCAAAGCGCTCTGGGCCATCCACACAGACCTTAGGCTTCTTGGCACTGAAGGTCAGGGTCCTTCGGTCGTCTGACAGTTGTAATAAGGGGCTGACAGTCTTCTCATTGATACGCACATCCTCCATGCCTGCCAGAAAAAATTC